ACGTCCTTTGATTTTGTTCTCAACTTGCTCAGTGGCCGCACCATTTTTGTGGCGTCTGGCTCATGTAGGACGAAATGAAGATCGCTCGGGAGGAGATATTCGGGCCGGCGCAGACCATCCTCAAGTTTAGGTACAAACGCATGGTGACGCATGAATGATCTCGTGACACAGCCACACAGGGCAATGTGTGTCTGCGTGGCGTGACGACTAACGGTGCAGAGCCGCCACATGCGTGCTCTCTCTTTTCATGCTTGTGGAAGCGGCATGGAGGAGGTGATCCGGCGCGCGAACGCGACGCACTACGAGCTGGCGGCGGGGGTGTTCACGCGGGGCCTCGACGCGGCCAACACGCTGTCCCGGGCGCTGTGGGCGGGCACTGTGTGGGTGAACTGCTACGACGTGTTCGACGCCACCGTCCCGTTCGGCGGCTACAAGATGAGCTGCGTCGGGCGAGAGAAGGGCATCTACGCCCTCCACAACTACCTCCAGACCAAGGCCGTTGTCACGCCCATCAAGGACACCGCGTGGCTGTAATCACACCCGTCCTATTCCTCACGGCGCTGCGCCGATTCACGCCGGTGCTCGACACCGGAGAATGTGACCAATAAAACAAATCTAAAAAACACCCTGGCTTATTCCTCGAACTTTAAATCCGGCGGAAATGATAATCTCTGGCGTCCAAGCGTCCGGACGCTCCCATTGTTGTCAACCGCAACGGCCCCAACCTTGCTCCAGAAATTTTCAAAAAAATAATCCACTCCAAAATCGTTTGGATTCTGGCTTCACCTGACTCTACACACGTGACTCGCACTCGCCGCTGACCTCCACTGGCCACTTGGTTCCGGCGTGGTCCACGACGACTGCTACGGCACGCCGGGCCGCCTGCCTGGCGCCATCCTTCCTCTCCACCACTCCACCGCGCCCCTGCCTACATTCCTATCTCTCCACCGCCACCCACTAGTCACCACTCGCCGCCGAGTTCTCTGCGTCGATGCGGTTTGGTCCACGGCGACTGCTCCGATGCGGCGTTCTCACTACGCCTAGCCACCAGCCTGCCACCATCCCCCCTCTCCACTACACCCGAGTGCCGCTTGCTGCCTACCACAGTTCCCTATCAGGCAGGTAGGTCGTAGCCACCGACGATGCCATGTTTGATTTTTTTGATATTGTAATATTTTAATAAATAATTGCAGAACTAAGAGCTAAAATAAAAAGGGATTTTCTGAATTTTAGTTTCCTTTCAGGCGACGGTTATTGCATATATTTTATACTAAAATTGTTCATTCTGTTTATTTGCGGTTTCTGTAAACGCAATCTGCAATTTTCAGAACGAAAACCACAAACCCGGAAAAATTTAATTCCTGTTGGCACAAAGACAATTAACAATTTACAATTATTTTCTATAGAAAAATAAGGACAAATTTTAATATATTATGACACAAAGACACGAAACAAAACACAAAAGTAATAATTTACTGTACTTGTTTTCGGATAATATAGGAGAAGTGACTACTGTACTAGTACTACTCAGCACGTCACAGGTTCACCTCGCCTGAACGGACTGAGAAAAACCAGGCGACTGTGACATGGGAATTGTGAAAAAAAATTATAGGACCCTGTCGCTTACCAACGGCCGACATGTTATGCCACATGTATCGTGCTTCCGTCCGCGTATTGTGCGGACAGCCGATTGGTCCTATCGGCCCTCCACCAGCCGATAAGCTGGGCCCCGTTTTTGCTAGGCTGTTTTGATATTTTATTTTTTTAGAAAAATAACAAATAAAGTATCGACCTCTAAAAATAGTCAGTTTATATGCTAAAAAGCAAATGCAACCCATTTTACATGGATATGTCATTAATTTCATAATTTTTAAAATTAAAATTCTTCCTATAATCCTATATTTGAATTTTCAGTTAAACTATTTGTGTTTGATTAATCAAACAAATTGTTGCGGAGAATTTACAATTTGATAACCTTGGATTATCTGAGCAGATTTACTAGTTTGTACGTTAGTTTAGTTACGTATCGCATGCATGAATGTGCAGATAGCTAGCTTAATCATTTCTTCTGTGTTTCTTGACGACGACCGGCGCCGCGCTCTGTTGCCACATGGGTGTTTGACAAGGTAACTGAACAAAACCCCAGCCTTTCCATGCATGCTTCAGTGCCCAGCACTGATCGGATCCCTGAACAACTTGCACGTTTTTGGTGCAGCTTGAGTTCACCGGATCGACGGGCACGGGGCAGATCGTGCTGGAACTGGCGGCGAGGAGCAACCAGAAGCCGGTGACGCTGGAGCTCGGTGGCAAGTCCCCTTTCGTCGTCATGGACGACGCCGACGTTGACCAGGCCGTCGAGCTCGCGCACCACGAGGTCTTCTTCAACCAGGTGCGTGTCCAACTGCAACTGCAAGTCTGCAATGGTGCTGTGTTTGTGTTGGAGCAATCACTACTGCCGATTCTGAACTCTGGAATGCTTTCCCAACGCATAGGGCCAATGCTGCTGCGCGGGGCCGTGGACGTTCGTGCACGAGCGCGTGTACGACGAGTTCGTGGAGAAGTCCAAGGCCCACGCCCCGAAACGCGTGGTCGGCGACCCCATCAGGAGCGGTGTCGAACAGGGGCCTCAGGTACGCACTTCTATTTCTCAGCGTCGTCCGTCTGCATCCGTTTCAGTTTCAGCCACCCCAGCCCTGAAAGCTTCTCCTTGCGCTGCGTCGTCGGATCGACGACGAGCAATTCAATAAGATCTTGCGGTACGCCTAGTCCGGCGTCGACAGCGGCGCCACCCTTGTCACCGGCGGCGACAGGGTAGGCAACAGGGGCTTCTACGTACAACCGACGGTGTTCGTCGACGCCTAGGTAAGGCTCAGCGAGCTTCTACCAAAACACGTCCTTTGATTTTGTTCTCAACTTGCTCAGTGGCCGCACCATTTTTGTGGCGTCTGGCTCATGTAGGATGAAATGAAGATCGCTCGGGAGGAGATATTCGGGCCAGCGCAGACCATCCTCAAGTTTAGGTACAACCGCATGGTGACGCATGAATGATCTCGTGACACAGCCACACAGGGCAATGTGTGTCTGCGTGGCGTGACGACTAACGGTGCTGAGCCGCCACATGCGTGCTCTCTTTTCATGCTTGTGGCAGCGGCATGGAGGAGGTGATCCGGCGCGCAAACGCGACGCACTACGAGCTGGCGGCGGGGGTGTTCACGCGGGGCCTCGACGCGGCCGACACGCTGTCCCGGGAGCTGCGGGCGGGCACTGTGTGGGTGAACTGCTACGATGTGTTCGACGCCACCGTCCCGTTCGGCGGCTACAAGATGAGCTGCGTCGGGCGAGAGAAGGGCATCTACGCCCTCCACAACTACCTCCAGACCAAGGCCGTTGTCACGCCCATCAAGGACCCCGCGTGGCTGTAATCACACCCGTCCTATTCCTCACGGCGCTGCGCCGATTCATGCCGGTGCTCGACACCGGAGAATGTGACCAATAAAACAAATCTAAAAAACACCCTGGCTTCTTCCTCGAACTTTAAATCCAGCGGAAATGATAATCTCTGGCGTCCAAGCGTCCGGACGCTCCCATTGTCGTCAACCGCAACGGCCCCAACCTTGCCCCAGAAATTTTCAAAAAAATAATCCACTCCAAAATCGTTTGGATTCTGGCTTCACCTGACTCTACACACGTGACTCGCACTCGCCGCTGACCTCCACTGGCCACTTGGTTCCGGCGTGGTCCACGACGACGGCTGCGGCACGCCCGGCCGCCTGCCTGGCGCCATCCTTCCTCTCCACCACTCCACCGCGCCCCTACCTGCATTCCTATCTCTCCACCGCCACCCACTAGTCACCACTGCCGCCGAGTTCTCTACGTCGATGCGGTGTGGTCCACGGCGACTGCTCCGATGCGGCGTTCTCACTACGCCTAGCCACCAGCCTGCCACCATCCCCCCTCTCCACTACACCCGAGTGCCGCTTGCTGCCTACCGCAGTTCCCTATCAGGCAGGTAGGTCGTAGCCACCGACGATGCCATGTTTGATTTTTTTTGATATTGTAATATTTTAATAAATAATTGCAGAACTAAGAGCTAAAATAAAAAAGGGATTTGCTGAATTTTAGTTTCCTTTCAGGCGACGGTTATTGCATATATTTTATACTAAAATTGTTAATTATGTTTATTGCGGTTTCTATAAACGCAATCTGCAATTTTCATAACGAAAACCACAAACCCGGCAAAATTTAATTCGTGTTGGCACAAAGACAATTAACAATTTACAATTATTTTCTATATAAAGATAAGGATAAAATTTAATATATTATGACACAAAGACACAAAACAAAACACAAAAGTAATAATTTACTGTACTTGTTTTGGGATAATATAGGAGAAGTGACTACTGTACTAGTACTACTCAGCACGTCACAGGTTCACCTCGCCTGAATGGACTGACAAAAACCAGGCGACTGTGACATGGGAATTGTTAAAAAAAATTATAGGACCCTGTCGACTTACCAACGGCCGATATGTTATGCCACATGTATCGTGCCTCCGTCCGCATGTAGTGCCGACAGCTGATAGGTTCTATCGGCCCTCCACCGGCCGATAAGCAGGGCCCCGTTTTTGCTAGGCTGTTTTGATATTTTATTTTTTTAGAAAAATTACAATTAAAGTATCGACCTCTAAAAATATCGTCAGTTTAGATGTTAAAAAGCAAATGCAACCCATTTTACATGGATATGTCATTAATTTCATAATTTTAAAATTAAAATTCTTCCTATAATCCTATATTTGAATTTTCGGTTAAGCTGTTTGTGTTTTATTAATCAAACAAATTGTTGCGGAGAATTTCCTATTTGATAACCTAGGATTATCTGAGCAGATTTACTAGTTTGTACGTTAGTTTAGTTACGTATCGCATGCATGAATGTGCAGATAGCTAGCTTAATCATTTCTTCTCTGTTTCTTGACGACGACCGGCGCCGCGCTCTGTAGCCACATGGGTGTTGACAAGGTAACTCAACTCAACACCAGCCTTTCCATGCTTGCTTCAGTGCCCAGCACTGATCGGATCCCTGAACAACTTGCACGTTTTTGGTGCAGCTTGAGTTCACCGGATCGACGGGCACGGGGCAGATCGTGCTGGAACTGGCGGCGAGGAGCAACCTGAAGCTGGTGACGCTGGAGCTTGGTGGCAAGTCCCCTTTCGTCGTCATGGACGACACCGACGTTGACGAGGCCGTCGAGCTCGCGCACCACGAGGTCTTCTTCAACCAGGTGCGTGTCCTACTGCAACTGCAAGTCTGCAATGGTGCTGTGTCTGTGTTGGAGCAATCACTACTGCCGATTCTGAACTCTGGAACGCTTTCCCAACGCATAGGGCCAATGCTGCTGCACGGTGTCGCGGACGTTCGTGCACGAGCTCGTGTACGACGAGTTCGTGGAGAAGTCCAAGGCCCACGCCCTCTAACGCGTTGTCGGCGACCCCTTCTGGAGCAGTGTCGAACAGGGGCCTCAGGTACGCACTTCTATTTCTCAGCGTCGTTCGTCTGCATCTGTTTCAATTTCAGCCACCCCGGCCATGAAAGCTTCTCCTTGCGCTGCGTCGTCGGATCGACGGTGAGCAATTCAACAAGATCTTGCGGTACGCCCAGTCCGGCGTCGACAGTGGCGCCACCCTTGTCACCGGCGGCGACAGGGTAGGCAACAGGGGCTTCTATGTACAGCCGACGGTGTTCGCCGACGCCTAGGTAATGCTCAGCGAGCTTCTACAAAAACACGTCCTTTGATTTTGTTCTCAACTTGCTGAAGGCCGCACCATTGTTGTGGTGTCTGGCTCATGTAGGACGAAATGAAGATCGCTCGGGAGGAGATATTCGGGCCGGTGCTGGCCATCCTTAAGTTTAGGTACAAACGCATGGTGACGCATGAATGATCTCGTGACACAGCCACACAGGGCAATGTGTGTCTGTGTGGCGTGACGACTGACGGTGCAGAGCCGCCACAAGCGTGCTCTCTCTTTTCTTGCTTGTGGCAGCGGCATGGAGGAGGTGATCCGGCGTGCGAACGCGACGCACTACGAGCTGGCGTCAGGGGTGTTCATGCAGAGCCTCGACGCGGCCAACATGCTGTCCCGGGCGCTGCGGGCGAGCACTGTGTGGGTGAACTGCTACGACGTGTTTGACACCAGCATCCCGTTCAGCGGCTACAAGATGAGCGGCGTCGGGCGGGAGAAGGGCATCTACGCCCTCCGCAACTACCTCCAGACCAAGGCCGTTGTCACGCCCATCAAGGACACCGCGTGGCTGTAATCGCACCCGTCCTATTCCTCACGGCGCTGCGCCGATTCACGCCGGTGCTCGACACCGAAGAATGTGACCAATAAAACAACCGTAAAAAACACCCTGGCTTCTTCCTCGAACTTTAAATCTGGCGGAAATGATAATCTCAGGGCGTCCAAGCGTCCAGACGCTCCCATTGTCGTCAACCGCAACGGCCCCAACCCTGCTCTGGAAATTTTCAAAAAAAAAATAATCCACTCCAAAAGGGTTTGGATTCTGGCTTCACCTGACTCTACACACGTGACTTGCACTCGCCGCTGACCTCCACTGGCCACTTGGTTCTGACGTGGTCCACGACGACGGCTGCGGCACGCCCGGGCGCCTGCCTGGCGCCATCCTTCGTCTCCACCGGGCCCGAGCGCCCCTACCTGCATTCCTATCTCTCCACCGCCACCCACTAGTCACCACTCGCCGCCGAGTTCTCTCGTCGATGCGGTGTGGTCCACGGCGATCGCTGCTCCGATGCGGCGTTCTCACCACGCCTAGCCCTTGACCTGCCACCATCCCCCTCTCCACTACACCCGAGTGCCGCTTGCTGCCTACCGCAGTTCCCTATCAGGCAGGTAGGTCGTAGCCACCGACGATGCCGTGTTTGATTTTTTTTATATTGTAATATTTTAATAAATAATTGCAGAACTAAGAGCTAAAATAAAAAAAGGGATTTGCTGAATTTTAGTTTCCTTTCCGGCGACGGTTATTGCATATATTTTATACTAAAATTGTTCATTCTATTTATTTGCGGTTTCTGTAAACGCAATCTGCAATTTTCAGAACGAAAACCACAAACCCGGAAAAATTTAATTCGTGTTGGCACAAAGACAATTAACAATTTACAATTATTTTCTATAGAAAAATAAGGACAAATTTTAATATATTATGACACAAAGACACGAAACAAAACACAAAAGTAATAATTTACTGTACTTGTTTTCGGATAATATAGGAGAAGTGACTACTGTACTAGTACTACTCAGCACGTCACAGGTTCACCTCGCCTGAACGGACTGAGAAAAACCAGGCGACTGTGACATGGGAATTGTGAAAAAAAATTATAGGACCCTGTCGCTTACCAACGGCCGACATGTTATGCCACATGTATCGTGCTTCCGTCCGTGTATAGTGCCGACAGCCGATAGGTCCTATCGGCCCTCCACCAGCCGACAAGCTGGGCCCCGTTTTTGCTAGGCTGTTTTGATATTTTATTTTTTTAGAAAAATAACAAATAAAGTATCGACCTCTAAAAATAGTCAGTTTATATGTTAAAAAGCAAATGCAACCCATTTTACATGGATATGTCCTTAATTTCATAATTTTTAAAATTAAAATGCTTCCTATAATCCTATATTTGAATTTTCAGTTAAACTATTTGTGTTTGATTAATCAAACAAATTGTTGCGGAGAATTTCCAATTTGATAACCTTGGATTATCTGAGCAGATTTACTAGTTTGTACGTTAGTTTAGTTACGTATCGCATGCATGAATGTGCAGATAGCTAGCTTAATCATTTCTTCTGTGTTTCTTGACGACGACCGGCGCCGCGCTCTGTAGACACATGGGTGTTTGACAAGGTAACTGAACAAAACCCCAGCCTTTCCATGCATGCTTCAGTGCCCAGCACTGATCGGATCCCTGAACAACTTGCACGTTTTTGGTGCAGCTTGAGTTCACCGGATCGACGGGCACGGGGCAGATCGTGCTGGAACTGGCGGCGAGGAGCAACCAGAAGCCGGTGACGCTGGAGCTCGGTGGCAAGTCCCCTTTCGTCGTCATGGACGACGCCGACGTTGACCAGGACGTCGAGCTCGCGCACCACGAGGTCTTCTTCAACCAGGTGCGTGTCCAACTGCAACTGCAAGTCTGCAATGGTGCTGTGTCTGTGTTGGAGCAATCACTACTGCCGATTCTGTACTCTGGAACGCTTTCCCAACGCATAGGGCCAATGCTGCTGCACGGGGTCGCGGATGTTCGTGCACGAGCTCGTGTACGACGAGTTCGTGGAGAAGTCCAAGGCCCACGCCCTGTAACGCGTTGTCGGCGACCCCTTCTGGAGCAGTGTCGAACAGGGGCCTCATGTACGCACTTCTATTTCTCAGCGTCGTTCGTCTGCATCCGTTTCAATTTCAGCCACCCCGGCCATGAAAGCTTCTCCTTGCGCTGCGTCGTCGGATCGACGGTGAGCAATTCAACAAGATCTTGCGGTACGCCCAGTCCGGCGTCGACAGTGGCGCCACCCTTGTCACCGGCGGCGACAGGGTAGGCAACAGGGGCTTCTACGTACAGCCGACGGTGTTCGCCGACGCCTAGGTAAGGCTCAGCGAGCTTCTACAAAAACACATCCTTTGATTTTGTTCTCAACTTGCTCAATGGCCGCACCATTGTTGTGGTGTCTGGCTCATGTAGGACGAAATGAAGATCGCTCGGGAGGAGATATTCGGGCCGGTGCTGGCCATCCTTAAGTTTAGGTACAAACGCATGGTGACCCATGAATGATCTCGTGATACAGCCACACAGGGCAATGTGTGTCTGTGTGGCGTGACGACTGACGGTGCAGAGCCGCCACAAGCGTGCTCTCTCTTTTCTTGCTTGTGGCAGCGGCATGGAGGAGGTGATCCGGCGCGCGAACGCGACGCACTACGAGCTGGCGGCGGGGGTGTTCATGCGGAGCCTCGACGCGGCCAACATGCTGTCCCGGGCGCTGCGGGCGAGCACTGTGTGGGTGAACTGCTACGACGTGTTTGACACCAGCATCCCGTTCAGCGGCTACAAGATGAGCGGCGTCGGGCGGGAGAAGGGCATCTACGCCCTCCGCAACTACCTCCAGACCAAGGCCGTTGTCACGCCAATCAAGGACACCGCGTGGCTGTAATCGCACCCGTCCTATTCCTCACGGCGCTGCGCCGATTCACGCCGGTGCTCGACACCGAAGAATGTGACCAATAAAACAACCGTAAAAAACACCCTGGCTTCTTCCTCGAACTTTAAATCTGGCGGAAATGATAATCTCAGGGCGTCCAAGCGTCTAGACGCTCCCATTGTCGTCAACCGCAACGGCCCCAACCCTGCTCTAGAAATTTTCAAAAAAAAAATAATCCACTCCAAAAGGGTTTGGATTCTGGCTTCACCTGACTCTACACACGTGACTTGCACTCGCCGCTGACCTCCACTGGCCACTTGGTTCTGACGTGGTCCACGACGACGGTTGCGGCACGCCCGGGCGCCTGCCTGGCGCCATCCTTCGTCTCCACCGGGCCCGAGCGCCCCTACCTGCATTCCTATCTCTCCACCGCCACCCACTAGTCACCACTCGCCGCCGAGTTCTCTACGTCGATGCGGTGTGGTCCACGGCGACTGCTCCGATGCGGCGTTCTCACTACGCCTAGCCGCCAGCCTGCCACCATCCCCCCTCTCCACTACACCCGAGTGCCGCTTGCTGCCTACCGCAGTTCCCTATCAGGCAGGTAGGTCGTAGCCACCGACGATGCCGTGTTTGATTTTTTTTATATTGTAATATTTTAATAAATAATTGCAGAACTAAGAGCTAAAATAAAAAAAGGGATTTGCTGAATTTTAGTTTCCTTTCATGCGACGGTTATTGCATATATTTTATACTAAAATTGTTAATTCTGTTTATTGCGGTTTCTGTAAACGCAATCTGCAATTTTCATAACGAAAACCACAAACCTGACAAAATTTAATTCATGTTGGTACAAAGACAATTAACAATTTACAATTATTTTCTATAGAAAGATAAGGACAAAATTTAATATATTATGACACAGTGACACAAAACAAAACACAAAAGTAATAATCTACTCTACTTGTTTTAGGATAATATAGGAGAAGTGACTACTGTACTAGTACTACTCAGCACGTCACAGGTTCAGCTCGCCTGAACGGACTGAGAAAAACCAGGCGACCGTGACATGGGAATTGTTAAAAAAAATTATTGCCTCCGTCCGCATGTAGTGCCGAGAGCCGATAGGTCCTATGGGCCCTCCACCGGCCGATAAGCAGGGCCCGTTTTTGCTAGGCTGTTTTGATATTTTATTTTTTTAGAAAAATTACAAATAAAGTATCGACCTCTAAAAATATTGTCAGTTTAGATGTTAAAAAGCAAATGCAACCCATTTTACATGGATATGTCATTAATTTCATAATTTTAAAAATTAAAATTCTTCCTATAATCCTATATTTGAATTTTCGGTTAAACTGTTTGTGTTTGATTAATCAAACAAATTGTTGCGGAGAATTTCCTATTTGATAACCTAGGATTATCTGAGCAGATTTACTAGTTTGTACGTTAGTTTAGTTACGTATCGCATGCATGAATGTGCAGATAGCTAGCTTAATCATTTCTTCTCTGTTTCTTGACGACGACCGGCGCCGCGCTCTGTAGCCACATGGGTGTTGACAAGGTAACTCAACTCAACACCAGCCTTTCCATGCTTGCTTCAGTGCCCAGCACTGATCGGATCCCTGAACAACTTGCACGTTTTTGGTGCAGCTTGAGTTCACCGGATCGACGGGCACGGGGCAGATCGTGCTGGAACTGGCGGCGAGGAGCAACCTGAAGCTGGTGACGCTGGAGCTTGGTGGCAAGTCCCCTTTCGTCGTCATGGACGACACCGACGTTGACGAGGCCGTCGAGCTCGCGCACCACGAGGTCTTCTTCAACCAGGTGCGTGTCCAACTGCAACTGCAAGTCTGCAATGGTGCTGTGTCTGTGTTGGAGCAATCACTACTGCCGATTCTGTACTCTGGAACGCTTTCCCAACGCATAGGGCCAATGCTGCTGCACGGGGTCGCGGACGTTCGTGCACGAGCTCGTGTACGACGAGTTCGTGGAGAAGTCCAAGGCCCACGCCCTGTAACGCGTTGTCGGCGACCCCTTCTGGAGCAGTGTCGAACAGGGGCCTCATGTACGCACTTCTATTTCTCAGCGTCGTTCGTCTGCATCCGTTTCAATTTCAGCCACCCCGGCCCTGAAAGCTTCTGCTTGCGCTGCGTCGTCGGATCGACGGCGAGCAATTCAACAAGATCTTGTGGTACGCCCAGTCCGGCGTCGACAGCGGTGCCACCCTTGTCACCGGCGGCGACAGGGTAGGCAACAGGGGCTTCTACGTACAGCCGACGGTGTTCGCCGACGCCTAGGTAAGGCTCAGCGAGCTTCTACCAAAACACGTCCTTTGATTTTGTTCTCAACTTGCTCAATGGCCGCACCATTTTTCTAATTCGTGTTGGCACAAAGACAATTAACAATTATTTTCTATAGAAAGATAAAGACAAAATTTAATATATTATGACACAGAACAAAACACAAAAGTAATATTTTACTGTACTTGTTTTAGGGATAATATAGGAGATGTGACTACTGTACTAGTACTACTCAGCACGTCACAGGTTCACCTCGCCTGAACGGACTGAGAAAAACCAGGCGACTGTGGCATAGGAATGGTGAAAAAATTACAGGTTATGCCACATGTATCTTACTGCCGTCCACATGTAGCGCCGTCAGCCGATAGGGCCTATCGGCCCTCCACGCTTGGTTGTTTTGATATTTTATTTTTTAAAAAATTACAAATAAAGTATCGACCTCTAAAAATATTGTCAGTTTAGATGTTAAAAAGCAAATGCAACCCATTTTACATGGATATGTTATTAATTTCATAATTTTAAAATTAAAATTCTTCCTATAATCCTATATTTGAATTTTCAGTTAAACTGTTTGTGTTTGATTAATCAAAGACATTGTTGCGGACAATTTTCTATTTGATAATGTCGACAGAATATCGTCGGCAGTCCTTCGAGGGGTATCCCACGAAAGTAGATTGATCGGCAGAGAAGCATGAGATCAAGAACAAGAAGGCAACAGAGACACAAGAGTTAGACAGGTTCAGGCCGTCAGTATTAGCTATCGTATGATATTGCGTGAGTTTGGAGGGGGTCCCTACCCGCCTTATATAGTCCGGGGAGCAGGGTTACAAGTCGGTTAGATCTGAGAGACAACCGAAAAGTAATAACTGATTACAGGAATCTTGGGATCATATATATCCTAACAGATCTTATAGTATATTCAGGATATCTTCCAGATGTCTTGCGGAAGGCGCTGAGCAGAGTCGTGCCCCACAAGGCTTCGTCTTGTGGGCTGGGCCACCCCTGAGGGCGCAGCCCATGTGGTCTGCCGTGGGTATCCAGGGTCGTACCCCCCACAGCTAGTCCCCGAGTGCCTTGTACCCATTGTGCAACGCCGTCTTGAGCTTGTCCGAGCAGGTGCGAACATGGCCAAGCAGTCAAACTCACGGTCCGACCACCGTGATGAGTTGCCGAGCAGTTGCGAGCAGTTGCCGAGCAGCGTGAACTATCGCCGAGCAGTGTGAACCAAATACGGCTTGCCATAAGGGTGTAAGGAGCTCAAGTTCAGAATTAAAAATTTCTTCGCAGTGGGCCAAGTGTGCCCACTTAGAGTCCCACCACGAAAAAAGGAGATTACCTTCTTCAGCTTCAAGAGGCGTGAAGTCTTCTAGAATAAAACAAGCACATTCACCGCTAGGTGAAGTGTGCCCACTTAGTCCCCGAGCCTGACAGTAGATGACGTACTCATGTGGTGCCAGGGTCCAAAGCAGAAGAAAAATAAAAGACCAGCCGAGCAGGCAGCCAGTCCCCGGGCATAGCCCCGAAAAGCACACTCACCGCAAGGTGAAGTGTGCCCACTTAGTTCCTGAGCCTGACAGTATGTGACATGGTCACATGGTGCCAGGGTGAGAAACAGCAGTCAACTTGTAGAAAACGGAATCGCGGAGAAATCACCGGAGTAACGGCTGTACAGTAGCAATTACTGAGCCATAACGGTTGGCAGAGAGATCGGTGAATATTCGACGAGCCGTAACAAATTGCAGAGATAAATCAGCGATATGGGCCGAGGTTGCGCGAAGGCCCAGGTAACGGCCCACCTTCAGTTGCGGAGAATTCGGGGTGGTAGAAACCGTGGGAGCGGTTCCCCAAAAACCCTCGAATGCGAAAGGGTGGGGAAAGTGCTTTATAACTGCGTCGCCGCATCCCGCGTTCCCACCTTTGCCATTTTGTCTTCCTCCATAGCCCTCACATTTCTAGATTCACATCCACACTTGCTTCCGCCCCCAAACCCTAATCAGATCTGAGAGATGGCGCCGAAGATGGGAGCTGCCAAATCAAAGTAGACGAGCCCCAAGAAGGCGAGCGCCGAAGCCCGGCGTGACAAAGAGTGGGTGCCGTCACGAACGGGAGAAGCGGAGCTCAATAGATTGGTGGAAGCTGGCGTTCTTCCTGACCGCGCTACCACCGAATGGCGGCCGGCCCTCGGTGAGCCCTTCCCAACACCTCATACCGATGAAGTGGTGGTATTCGAGGATTACTTCTGGCGTGGGTTGGGATTTCCTGTTCATCCATTCCTGAGGGATTTGCTGGAGCTTTGGGTGGTTAGTCTATGCAATCTCCACCCAAATACCATTTTACACATCTCTATATTCATCCATTTCTGTGAGGCATATCTCAGAATCCTTCCCCACTTCAACCTCTTCTGTCACCTGTTCTGGCTGAAGAAAAGAGGCGGCGGTGGTTCCAAGGTGGTCGGCGGAGTGTACCTTCAGCTGTGCGATGGAATGGCGGGGGAGTACTTTAATGTGCCGCTGATCACGTCACTTAAGAACTGGAACGCCAAGTGGTTCTACATGAGGCAGAGCCAACCGGCCATCCACTGCGACACCGACCATATCCTAGAGAGCCAGAAGAGCTGGTCAAAGATGCCAAGCAGCGCTGACATGGAGCAAGTGAGGGAGCTCCTTAACTTAATAAAGGGTGTGAAGACCAACGGTGGATTGGTGGCGGTGAGCTTTATAGTGCGCCGCGTTCAGCCCTATAAGGAGAGAGCCCACCCCGCCTTTGAATTCAAGGGAGAGACCGACAGTACCCGGGAGAGGCCAGAGATGCTGTCGAGGGACATTGTGGAGGAGCGGGCTACAAAGCTATTCGCTCTGTTTGCCTCATTCAGTATGTCTGGGTATACGAAGCCCTTTAACTGCAAGAATCTGCCTCCTAAGGTAAATATCTCAGTTGTATATTCCTGATGCATGTTACCTTTTGTCATTTCCGAGCATTGGACTGACTCACTTATGCGAAGATCCACTCACAGGATAGGGCGGTGTTCTTCTCGGGCATGTCGAGGAGCGAATGGCCGAAGGGAGTAGATGCCTGGCCACCGCCGCAACCAGAGGAGCAAACTGTCAGCATCTCGTCGGAGAGTCCATCCCTGGTGTCGGAGAAAATCTAGGGGAAGAGAGCAGCGGCAGACGAGCTAGCCCAAAAGAAGAGAAAGACAGCGGCCGCCGCTCCCCTCAAACCGGGCGGCATCTCGCTTGGTGGCGACTAGACCACTCGAACACAAAGGACTATGGTGTTCGAGTGGTCAGATGACGATGAAATTCCGGTGGCTGCTCCCCCGAGCACTGAAGCACCTCCACGCAATAGGCACGCAGAAGAACAATCAAAGGGTAGTGAAGAAGTCCCCGAGCAGGGGGTGAGGAGAGTCCCTGCGCAATAGGCGACGGAGGCCTCCACAGAGCAGGTGACGGGAGTCCCCAAGCAGCATGCGGAGGAAGTCCTAGAGCGACGGGCAGAATATAGGCCGATGGTGGAGGAGGCGGCACCTACACCCCAAAGCATGGGAGTCGACCCCACAGCCGTGCCTGGGGGCTCAAGTGGGCAGCGCCGGTTCAAGAAATTGTACATACAGACCAAACCGTAAGTATATTTGCCTTGGAGTTTCTTTGCTATCGTTTCTTAGCTTTTTTGGCGACTAACGAGATGATCTGATGCAGTGCAAAGCGTGCGGAGGATTTGGCCCCGCCCGTCCTGACTGTCGAGCAATCGAAGGGTGGTCTCGGAGCTGAAAAGGTGCTAGTAGACCCCATGCCAGAGTCCCTAGTTGCTCGACGGCCTGTGGAGGAGTCAACCGCAGCTACTGGCATTCTTGGCGGCAGCGAGAGGTTGGTGGATGGATCGGCGATGGTGCCCGGGGCAACGACGGAAACCGCCGGATCTTCAGGAGCAGAGGCTGGAGCCGCCGATGCCACATCGGTGTTCAGAATGGAGGGGTATGCGGTGTCGGAGGAGCAAGCGCCCCTACCTAAGGCATCGAAGGGCGTGGTCAGACATGCTATCTAGCGACCGAGCCCCCAGGTGGTGCATCCAGCTATGGTGGAGGAGGACAAGGTAGAAGGGATCGAGCGTGCTGAACCTCAACCCCAATCTGTCCGAATCCTCCACAAGCACAGCGATGAGGTGGTGATTGTCGAGGAGGAGGACACCACTAGGGAGATGAGGAGACTGAAGTCCACCGTTGCTGGCGTGATGAAACAAATCGAGGTCAGTACTGCATCTGGAGAGCTTGTCTTCGATGTTGGAGATCGGAGTTCGCCATTATCAATGTACATTTGTAGGGGATAAGCCAGACTGCCGAGCAGTGGCACCAGCTGATAAAGAGGATGGAGCCCCTCGCCGAGGAGAACAAAAAACTTAAAGCGGCGATGAACCTCATGGATATAAACATCAAGAGGGCCCAGCGCGAGCGAGACCTTACAGAGTCCAACGCGCGGGACCTAGAATACCAAAAGGGGGTCCTATCCGAGCAGCTGGCGGCTACGACCGAGCAGGTGCGGTGCAAGTCCAAGCAGTTGGCCACTGTCTCCGAGCAACTAACGGGTGCTTCCGAGTAGTTGGAGCTGCTGCGGAAAGTCTCCGAGCAGAAGAAAGGTATGTCGTATTGGCGAATGTGCTTTGTATTCTTGAATAGCTATACCTTTGGTGATGACTGTTGTGCTTGTAGAGCAAGACGCGG